GCACCGGCGACGCCATACTCACCCTTGGCATACAGCATCAGCTCGACGCCCTTCGACCAGACGCCGGCTTCAATGTCCGTTGACACTCTGACGTCTGGGCAAGGGAATTCAGAGTCAAGCGACAGCCTTAGGGTACTGAGTGTCATACCTTTGCTCGCATCAGTCATCGGTCAGACTACTGCTCCCAATACAATCGATGCCTCCGACGGTGTGAGCCAGCAGTCTGAAGTGGCCAGTATCCAATACGTTCCTCCGACGTCTCAGCCAGAAGATCCAGGCTCAAGTGCCAGCTTTGGAGCATCGAATGTTGAGCCTCTGTCTGCATCCGTTACCGAGAAGACTGCTACTATAGGGACTGACGCTTCCGCCAATGTAATCCCTGCGCTCGAAGTGGTCAGTCTCGAAGCAAATCCTCCAACGTCCCGGCTAGAAGACCCAGGGTCAAGTGCCACCCTTGGGGTATCGAGTCTGGAACCTTTGTTCGCGTCTGCCCGCAAAACGACTGCTCCCGCGACGTATGAACCTTCCGCCAATATCAATTTTCCGCCTGAAGTGATCAACCTGCAACCGAACCCGACGAGTTCCGCCGGTCTGCCAGCCCCTACATCTCCAATAGCCGTATCATCACAGGCAACTCCAGTTCCTACTGGCACCCTGCCATCTCAACATCCTTCTTCGACGATGCTAGATTCGGTGGTCGGCGCCATACTCAGCGCAATGCAGCAGATGCCGGCAGCACAGAGCATAAGTCCGGCTTCCCAGGTCAGCAGTGTGACGGACACATTGCGAAACACTTCACCGGACACCGAGGTAGTCCGCGGTACGCCTTATCCGGGCAACGCAGAAACGACGCTGGAGTTGCAGTCCATGTCATATCAGGATCCGACGAGCTTACCTGTCATTGTGGTAGCCAACCAGACCGGCGGGAGTATCGGCGTACAAGCCATCCACACCTCCAGTACCCCCTCAGATCTCCTTTTACTGATGAGCTCAGCGACGACGATCTTACCTGTCATCGTGGTGGCGAAGCAGCCTGGCGTGAGTACCAGCGATGAAGTAGTTCCCACCTACACTACTACCTCGACATTTGGTTCCGCGGTGAGTTCAGCGGCGAGTGCGAGGCCTGTAATTCTCCTGCCGCTTCTGTACATACTTTTCAGCTCGATGAGCTTGGCTCTTGGATGTATAGTGGTATGATACAGTTTGCCTACTCGTGTCTCATTCCGTTGCTTTAGTCTCCACTCGTATCGAAGTCCCTCAAGAACCGCCACCTCCCCTGCTCCTTCCATCCCTTCTGCCGCCAGCCGTTCGCCGGCTTGGGATAGAACTCCACAACATCAAGCAGACTCCTATCATGCGCAATCATAGCGAACACATTCTCCTGGGCGTCAAACTCCGTAAACTTCTCCAAACTCTCCACAGCAACCCCGGCATCGTCATGAATAGGCCCGTTCGCCAGCATAAAAGGTTCCGTCGAGCTCTTCTTCGGGTGTATAGCCTCAAACAGCGACCCCGGACACACCGAAGCCAACTTGGCGTACGGTGCTACAAGCGGAGAGGGCTGCACATTCTCCGGCAGTGGCATCCACTTCGTAGGTCTGAACTCGCCACCGTGATGCGCGATATCCCCTCCCATCACGATGAACTCGGGCGGATCCGCGGACGTCCTGGCAAGGCCGCACATGTGCCCTGTAGCGTGTCCCGGAGAGTCGATGAGATAGAAGGATCCGTCGCCGTAGAAGTCGAGGGCTTGGTAGCCGCCGAGTTTGAGGCCGTTGCTTTCGGTTTCGAAGTCGATTTCGCGGAGGTAGCGGTCTTTCCATGCTCGCTCGTCGACGGGGCTTTCGGGGACGGTCGGATAGCCGGGGATGAAGCGGACTTTGAAGCCGGGTCCTACGATTAGATCGGTGGAAGGTGGGAAGGTGCTTGGGTCGCCGGTGTGATCCTGGCGTCTCATGAGTTACAATTCGTGGCGTCGGGTGGGTGATCTCACAAAGTGAAAATGCGACCAGATGATACCGCCAACCTTCGCCGGATCGTCGCCGTTCTCTCGAAGTATGCCAGCAACATAGTTGTCGACCTTGATGCCGTAGCCGACTTGTTTCTTTTGGTCAACCATCACCTTGGGACCGTTCTCCCAATCCTTTCGGACACCCAAATCAAACAACAAGTGATCGTACTTGCTTGGCTTGTCCGGGTTACTGTGCTTGATCAGGAAGGCATAACATGGTGCCTGGAACGTGTCGAATCCCGGTATAGCTGGAGTCATGAACAGGCTGATTGGCATGTCGCTGATCACGGCTGTGGTATCAATGATGGAGACATTGACCGTATGCTGAGAAGACGGGATGTTGAGATCGGGCGGCGTCGCTGCTGCTACACCAGGCATGGTTGCTGTGCGAAGACTGCTTATGAGATGCACAGGTTGTCTGATAGACTGTCTGAAGTGTTCTGTAGGTTCACGGTTTTAGAGCGAGCAATATATGCATATCTACGGAGGGCTACGGGATCCAATTAGTAATGATTGAGGGGAGCTACAGAGCTCAAGTCATGCAATATGCGATCGTACTGTACCATTCGATGGCGAGAAAGTAACGCTGTGTATGCTGCGCCCGTTAACAGCAACAGTGTCCATTCTCAGCAATAGGACATCAGGCCCGGTACCGTGTATAGGTCTCCAGGCTTCCCCCGTATTACCCTAGCACGCCTGAGCTTGACCAACCCCTTGAACCTAGTAAGCCTACGCTAAAGTCATCGATGAAGAAGCTCACGAGAGCCTTCGTGGGCGACGTGCCTCGAGACGTTCGCCTACGCAAGGTGTCCCGTTTTACTAGCGCACGACTGCGCGGCACCTGCAGACGTTGTCGTCACCGTGTTCGTGATACTGAAGTCGGATTAACAAAGCCCTGAAGATCGAAATTGGCATCAGCAACGAACGTCAGGTGCTTGGTTTGTGTGCTCGTAACCATCGCAATCGCCACGTTGACGGTAGTGGTGCGGGTCGACGCTACAGCGGTGATGGTGCTTCGTTGACCATCAGCATCAACCGTAGCGATGCCTGACGTTGACGTCGAGGTCTGCGAGACGACCACTGTTACAGTCTGGGTCGTCGTCGCACCAACTTGGCTAATCGTTGACGTAGCGGCAGTCGTAGCAGTGACGGTGATAGTAGGTTGATCAGGAGCCCGCTTATGCAGCACCTTGGCTAACCGCTTATTGCGGTTCTCCACGAAGGCCTGCTTGAGCTCGGCACTGGGCGTGCGGCCGACCAGAATCGCCCGCTTGTACGCTGCTGAGCCGGAGGAGCGTTTCAGGATAGAGCTGAGACCAATCAATCCAGCGACATCTTCCTACAGTCCGTGAATGACACCGCTCGCAACGCTGTCCAGCGCTCCAAGCACAGTTGGGACGATCTGGGCGATGGGGTCCTTGACGCGAGTGACTTGTGGTACGGTGCATGATGCTGTATCACCATTAGCAGGACAGTCTCGTATGGCAGTAGCGTGTGATGCCGGTGCGAGTGCTCTACGCTCGCAGCTCGGTCATTGTTGGTGGTACCGCGGAAGATGATTTGCCGGTGCGCTTACCTGGGACTGTCTTCGCTATGGAAGACACCTGGACCGTCTGTACAACCTGGGTAAGAGTAAAGAGCCCTTTGGTCATCCTAACGACGCTTGGCGCAGGCGTGATGGTAGTGGGCGTTACCGTGGCCTGCACTGTCGTAGTCGAAGACGGGACAGTCGTTGTGTAAGTGGAAGTGCTTGTCTGCGTGACGTTGACGACCGGCGTATTCTGGTTCGTGATAGTGGCCGTTGCCGTGACCGTCAATGTGTGCTGCGGGCCGACACTGAGAGAGAAGTCTCGCTGATAGGCGATGGGACTCCCGTTGCCGTTGTTCGATATGATCAGAAGAGACCACGAGCCGTTGTACAGCTTGTCTTTCGGCCAGTCCGCGCAAGTGATGAGCTGTGGCGTGTCGTTCGGAAGCAGCGGTGTGTTGGAGCACTGGCTCTGGTCACCGTTTGGATTGACCAGGACGTTATTGGCGGTATCGTTCTGGCAACCGTCGAAGTCCTGCAGTGCCGTGAAGGGGTCACTCGAAAGGCTGTTCTGGAAGTAGGAACCGCCGTTCTGGAAATCGTCTCCGAAGGATTCGCAGCTTTGGGCAAGGGCTGAACCTGCAATAGTGAGCAGCGAGGTGATTGTTGCAAGTGTGAGCAGCATGATTATAGCATAGCGCCAGTGGAACTGTGTATGATGGTCGTCCGCCTGGGAGCAGACGCCTATAAGAATACCTCTGAATTCAAGTGTGTCCGCCATGACGGATTTTCCAACGATCGCTCCCCGGCACCAGAGACCAGCAACTCAAAATCTGTGACAGGCCCGAGACGTGGTCGAAAGTCTCGCTACTTTTGTGAGGCTTCGCACAACGCATATCTCTATCACGATTGGGTGGCAAGAGTGAGGTCAGGCCTATGAGACTTTCACTAGATTCCGACGGTCCTGCGAATTCCGTGAGCTTGCGTACGCATTGTATTGTTAGCAAGTTGCAAGGTCAGATATAGCATCGGAGGGGTCACGAAGGTCTGCTCTCCTTCCAGCGGGATATGACCTCGATGTGCCTGGTGTAGACGCTCGAGCGCGTTTCAGGCTTTGAGTTCGCAGTGGTGTAGGAAGCTCGCACAACCGTCCTCAACAATGTTGAGTGTAGATCGGTATCAGGTAGGGACGGCAAGGACCGTGGTTTGGTGGTCTATTCACCAGGAGCAGAGATGTTTAGGTTACTGATGATCAAGCTGGTGCACGATGAATACGGTACGATGATTGTTGGCGCTCATACATGGAGGCGGGTTAAACGTGTCCCGACAAGCGAAAGTAAAAGAGAATGTTGATCCCCCGATCGTGACTGGGACGCAAAAGAGTAGCTGGTATACTTTGGGCAGTTTCTCCCTCTATTAGAGATTAGTATAATCTAGGTGAGGTAATACTATTGGGTTGAACGTACCGGGTGGGCTTGAACCACCAACCTCCTGATTTGCTTCCCGATGCCGGTTAACAGTCAAACGCGCTAGCCAATTGCGCCACGAGGGACTCAGAACAAATCGATGCTTCGATATTGGTTGTGCAGCCTTTGTACAATATAATATCCACAATTGAAAGCCGAGATTCGTGCGCACCAGGCCGATCCTCGAAATCTTGTCGCTCTTTTCTACATGTACGCAGCTCGAAGCACATGTACTTTGCGGCTCAAACGACACACTGATAAAATCAGCGCGACAGCCATCACAAACCCAATGAAGTGCTCGGTATTTTTGCCATGATATGCAATGGGACGAGCCCATTGCTTCCATTTGTGAACTACAGGGTGCACAACTCTAGTCCATACAGTACGGAGTAAGGCGCCGCCTTCAATTACCCGACGCCGCTCACCCTATCCCGCGCCCGCAGTGCCCGCTCGAGAGAGAACGTGCAAGTCTCAACCTTACAAAGCCGCAACAATCACACCCAGACCCACGACCAAGCTAACACCCACCCACGCCTTCGCCGTCTCGGCCCCGTTGACAGCGCTCGACGTGGAGCTCGACCCCGAACCAGCGGTGGCAGATGCAGCTCCGACAGTGCTTCTGGTCGCAATCCCACTCCCCGACATGGAAGCGACAGAAGTCACCGTCGGACGCCCGGAGCCGGCTGCGCTTTGAGATGCGGTCACGCTGAGCAGGAGCGTGCTGTTGCTGACAGCGCCCGCGGTGCTGTGTCCGGGGTACAGAGTACCGTTCGCGGCGGCACCAGCCGAGGCCAGCGTGCCGTTGTGCGCAACGACAGCAGAGGACCAAGACGAGTACGCGGAGGCCGAAGCGGATGCAAAGGCGGACGAGAGGGAGGTGAGGTTCGCAGAAGGACCCGCGGAGGCCGTCGCCGACGTATACGCACCAGACGCGTAGGCTGCCGGCGGCGCGGTGGTGTAGAGGTCCCAGCTGCTCGACGCGCTGTCCGTCTCCAATGCGCTCCAGGCAACGCTGCTGCTGATCGTGACGGATGCTTGAGTCAAAGACGACGAAGCAGCGGCGGCGGAGGCGGTGGCGGTGGCCGCGGCGGTCGCACTAGCCCATGCGGTATTGTAGGACGGGGAGTAGGTGGAGGTGCCGCTGTATTGAGGGCAGCCAGGGACGTCGGTCTTGGGGGGTGCGGTCCCGCCTCCGCAGTCGAGGAAGTCGCATAGCTCGCCGGTGCCGGGGACGTACCCTGTATATCTCGTTAGTACCAATGTTGCTCCTTGCCTCGGTATTGATCCAATCTACATACAAGCGAGAGATGCGCCGGCTGGGGACGAGACGTCGGTGGATGTGCAGCCGGTCAGATCGGTGCGAGCGAGCGCAAGAGTGGCCAAAGTGGCAGGGAGCAGGAAGGACGCGTAAGAAGGCATGGTTTTGTTCTGCTAGAACGTAGTAGGTTATCTTGAAGTATTGCGTGTGGAATAGCGAGTTGAAAGGCGTCTGGTTGAAGCGACTGTGGTGCAAGTAATTGCGAAATGGTGACGGAAAAGGGTAGAGCGCTGTTCAGTAGGCAGCAGGCTGAGTCTTATACCTACCTCCTATACGCTGAGATCTGCATCCTTCGAAAGCTTTGTTGGTGAAGGCAGATGACTGGAGATGAGACTTGGCTCGTATTCTCGCCAAGTGAAGATCAACAGGAGGCACCAGCTCCACCCTTATTACTAAACCGGGGACGAGTGTCACGAGACATCGGCGGCGGGCGTCCGAGACGGGACTTGGCTTCCCCGAGACTCGCCGCGAACAGCTCCATGCAACAGCAACGACACCACCAGAGGGGACGGAGGTGTTGACAGCACCATGTTGACCAAATACCTCACCGGCGTCACCACCGCCTTCTCGCCCTTCAACGCTCGCTCCGGCAAGACCGTCCGCAACTTCCTTGCCCTGCTGCCTCCAAATGCGCGATCAACCATGGCCATTGACGTCAAGATGTTTGGGCAGAGCGAGGCGCTGAAGCCGGCCACGTTGACTCTGAAGTTCAGTATGTTTATACAGCGTCTGAAAGGACAGAGCAGTGGTGGACAGACGTGCTGATGTGTGGGTGTAGAGGACGGCAAGGAAATGCAGCTCGATCTGGAGAAGATGAAGATCAAGGATATCCAGGTGGAGGTCGATAGGCATTCGCGAATCCTGCGGCGCAAGGATGAACTGTCTGGCTGAGCGGATAATGGCATTCCGGCGGTGAAAATATCGGGGATGACTTGGAATGTTACGGTTCGACCAAGCGGCAGATCGGAAACCCATGTGCAATCCCACACGTTCTACGCTCCTCTGGCGCCCAGTTACGGAGGTTCCGCGTAAGAGAGGATGCCAGATCCATGCCGAGTGGGCTGGCCAAGCATGTGCGGACGGGGACGGGCTCGACCGGTGAGGTGCGTTTTCGATGAGGCCGCACAAGCCAATGGCATGCGGTGATCGGGCATGCGGCGATCAAGCATGCTTTGACGGAGAAGTGGCGTGCATCCACACGATGCTACATGAAGTAGATCTGTACAGGCTATTTACACCATCATGAGGACGTGAACGTACACTGGCTCTTACTATTCCTCGATCTCGCCGTCATCCGCTTCAGCCGAATCCACATCTCCAATCTCACTCTCCAGCTCCGGACAGAGTGTCTCCCCCAGCTCAGCACTCTCTTCAAGCACCTTCAAAGGATCGCGGTCGCTTTTGGCTCCCAAGTCCTCGCGTATAAGCGAGACAGCCAATTCGGGGACCAAGACACTCTGCACATATCCCGAGACACCACCCGAGACTCCAGAAGCTGCGACGAGCGTGTCTTTGGTAGCGTGCAAGCGAAGGACATCGGCGAAAGAAGAGAGGATGTGATCGGTCCTGTTTCAGTATCAGTCATGAGTGCAAGATGCAAGACAGTAGCGTCCTCACATCATCTTCTCACCTCGCGGGCCATAGTAGCCCGCCGAAGCGACTTTGCCGGCATCATCCTCATCATCTGCAACCTGCAGTAGAGTCTTTGCTCGACTCTTCACCCTTGTCTGGAACTGCTCACGAAACGGGGAAGCCACTTCGCCGCTAATGATACGTTTCATATGCGTCATGTGCTTCCGCTGCCGCAGTCGAGAAGCCAGGCGAATCCAGTCAATCTTCGGATACCCTCGTTCCTCCCACAACTGGCTGGCTTCGGCCTGCCGGTGGTGCCGACAGAAACGCTGCTGCCACTTGAACGCCCACTGCTTCGCTTGAGGATACAAATCCTCGAAATCTTCTCGCATTGTTGCGGGGACGGTGGCGGTGCAGATGGTGCACTCCATCCGTCGAACGCCGGAGGGTAGAGCGCTTGGAGCCATGTCCTCAAGGAGGGGACTCGCGGGTGGAGGGCTGAGATCGGAAAGATCGGGCGAGTCGGCTCGATAGTCGTCGGTGCCGGTATCACAGTCCGACTTGGCAACGTTGACGGTTTCGCCTGGTTGCTTGAACGCGGTGTTTGTATCTCGTCCCTGGTATGCCGCCATATTGGAAGGGATATTAGCTTGTCTGAACTTTGGACCTTTGGCTTTCTCAGCTTGAGCCTCCTTTGCCTTTTTAATCCGAGTGGCCTTCTTCTGCTCTTCCTCCCGTGACCGGTGTCGTTGCACTTTCGATCCATAAGCCGCCACTTTCTTTGCTGGAGGTGGTGCGAATATGTTCGTCGTGGTGGCTGCCGTTAGCTGTCGTTTGGCTTGCGAGGCCTGGGAGCTGCCAAATATCATGGCGTCCTCATCGCTACTGCCGATCTCCGACTCTCCAGCGCTCCGCTTACTTCCAGCGCTCGGTGGGGAGCTGGGTAAATTGGGAAGGTGAAATCGAGAGCTTGGAGGAGCCACCTTCGCGTCGGTCCCTCGCCTCGGTCGCGTGAAAGTCGCTGCGGCAACCCTTGGAGGCTCGTGAGGGCCGTCCAGCTGCGGAGGAGGCTTGAAGCCCGGTTTCCTCACCTCCTCCAAGGGCGGAGAGGTTGGACTGACAAGTTGATGTGAAGCCTGAATTTTTTCATCATCGCTTGAGAGCGGGTCGGCGTCAATGTCGACATCGTCCATCAGGGTAGGCTTCGTAACGACGCGAGAGCTAGCTGCGCTGACCGAGGACGCGGGAGTGTGCAATTGAGTGCCGGCCCTTGCACCACCAGGTGGGCCAATTGTGTCGTGGTCGTCTTCACTCGCATGTCGCCTACCATCTACCGTGCGTAGTAGCTTGTGTACACCTCGTCTCGCTAATGCTGGCATCTCTGATGGGCTTGGCGCACGGCGACGAGCTCCATGCACGAGCTGAAGTTCGCGGGTCAGCGCGTCTACGGAAGCTTGGCGAACACGAAGTCGCGTGACGTCTGCGACCACCTTTCAGGCTCTCACACGTAGAAAAGAGAGTGTTGTCGAGGTCCTTTTATGATCATCGCAAGAACAGAAAGCTACAATCATACAGGTAGCCCGACACATCAGATTACAGTTCCAGACGAGATATCCGCGACAATGAAGAAGGCGTTCGCGGGACGAAGAGTGCCACGCAGAGTCGGACAGTACGACGACGATGAGCCTCCAGTGCCAGCAGAAGCGGATGCAGCAGGTACGTCTCCTTTGCAGCCCATTATTCCTTGTTTGGCTCTGACCCCTTATCGTAGTCGCCATCCCAGGCTGACTCGGTACGTCTCAGGAGCCGCACTTGAGCGACCCGTCGTCAAGCCCCGGAAGTCGACCAATCTCCGCAAGTCATTCACTCCTTCTGCCGTGACGGACGAGGACGACGGTAGCGAAAGCTCGGGCGTCACTGTACCCAGACGCAGCAACGTTGCACGCATAGCAATTCAGCGCAATGCCGCCAAGCGTGTACTCGAGCTACCACGTAGATCGGAAGACGATGGCGAGGACAGCAGACCGAGCTACGACACGGCCGCCCTGAACGAGCTGAAAGCCAGTACACCCGTCACGCCCCGCGACTTCGCCTCCGTAGACGTGGGTGAGGCGGCGGTCCAAGATGTCTCGCAAGCTACGCGAGAGCTGGATCTTTCGTCCAAATTCGGCTCTTCCTTAGCCCGGTATCAGCCCTC